TTGCCAGTACATTGATCATGATAAATAGAATTTCTATTTGTGCATAGTTTAACTCCCGTTAACTTCTTCCGTATCTTTTGTGCCATCGGTTTGCACATCTGTCTAACTACAGTGGAGATGGGTTCACGTTTGCATCGTTTGAACTCGGATAAACGGCTGGATCACAAAGGGATGCGCGCGTTACACAGGCAGGCAGCTGGATAGGTAGGCAACCACACACAGAAGGAGTTCCAGAGAAGTGTTCGCGCAACTTGGATCCCCACAAAGGATGCTTGCTCGAGTCCCGCGACAAAGGTCAGAAACAACGATCGGAATCTTCAGGAAATTAATTTAACATCATCGCGTAATTAGTTTACGCTCAACGTCGCCGGATGAGGTAGTCATGACGCGTTTTCTTTGGTAGCTCAAGCGGTTTACGATCTCGTCGAAGAACTTCCAATTGCGAAACGTTTTGTTGGATCAACTGAGTTCGCTGTATCACAGATAAATTCTAAACCCGTAACCTTTTTGGCTAGGTATTATTCTTTCTATATTTTCAATTCCCCGCAATCGAATTTCAATTTGCGCCGCCTGTACCTCCTTTTCTTCCATCGTTTCCGGTGGTCAGGACGGGAAATCTAATTATGGCCACTTACACCCACGACGCGACGCATCCTGCCGCGCGTGGTCGCTGGAAAGGAAAGGAAATTGCAGGGACCACGCCTCATTGACCCGCGTCCTTCCCGAAAAATCCTCTACGACTCTTGCACCGGAAACGGCGTCGGTGCTGTGGCGAACCCTGTGTGGAAATACGTGCGCTGGAAACGACGCGTTTCTTCGGTAGCCACGACGCCGTTCAAGCAATAGCAGAAAAAGGAGGAGGTCCTTGGCAATTTTCTCCTTTCGCAGTAGAACGAAAGAAACCACGTTAATTGACGTTTATCTGAAAGAGGTTTGCTAACGGGAGGATTATTTACTCCTGACAAAGGATTTGTTAGACGTTAACTTTGATTCGTCAATACAATACTTGTATGTGGCTAGCTTCACATTTATACACAAGGTGAATTAACAAGAAGAATCATTATGTATTGATTTTATTATGTAGGGGAATGAATTTGGGTTTGATAAAATACAAGAACACATCCACTTAAGGATGTATAGGCTATATACTTAAACAATGCTAGCATGTTGAATTTGTTATTATAGATTTCTAGTACTATTAGAACTCTACCTGCAAAATTTNNGCATTGTTCTTTTGACGTCTGATTTCTTTTTAATTATAGGAAATGCGTTTTTCTAAGGTACATAAACTTTTGGGATTGATTGTATAGCCAATACATCCTTAACGATCATCTTATGATAAATGCATAGGATGTTTTTTTTAATTAAATCAGAATATAATCGTCATTTTATATGATAGTTTTTATCCGTTTTTCTGTGCACATTATATCTTATAGCTTTTACAGTTCGTACTTTTAGTTAGTTTCATGCGTATCGAGAAGTTTGTACCAGTAGTAGGTTGGTTGATCGCGTGAAATAGTTGGCTGTCGGTGCGGGAAGCTAATTATCCCGCGGGAAAAATTCTCTGCGCGAGAGGTAACAGGGAAAACGGCAACGTGAAACGTTGTACGTTTCTACGTGCGGCAGCATCTCCATATCTCTTGAACAGGATTGTTAATTGGATTTTTTTCCTCCGGGTCGCGTCGTTTCATTATAACGCGAACTCTCTCCCGGTCCCGCTCTCCCCGCACGCTTACCATTTCTCGCCCTCTCGTCGTTGTCTCCTCCCCGACAATTGTTTTACCCTATTTGTTCCACGCTTCTGCCCCATACCACCCTCCCGTTTCTCATTGGTACTCGACAGTCTCCCTTTTGATTCTGTTCTCGACCCATTTATTCGTATCGCTGATGTTTTTCTTTTTTTCACTTCCTCGTCCACGTTCCACTTGATAGTGGTTTTCCACGGCAATTTCCTTTTAACAGCCGCTTCTTTTCGTTCTTCTTATTTATCTGTGCTACGTCGTGCCGGCTGGACCAACTTCCGGTGACTTATTTTACTTAACGTATATCTCCGGGCCCTCGGTCACGAATTCTCAGGACGCCCTTAGTTTCTCTTTTTGTCCAGAAACGTCGTCGTGGAAACGTTAAGTGGAATAAAGTGACATGATTCGGTCGAAGCGAACGGGAAACTTTTATCCTTTTCGACCTTTTCAGAATTCGCAAATTCTAACGGTTGAAATGGACGACCAGAGTACTCTCAGAGTACACACGTTCCCGACAGTCGTAAAGTAAAAAGAATGCAGCTAGGACACTGGTCGAATGGTTGGAGGTAAAGTCGATTCGTCCTGGGACTCGTTTATGTTCCCTGGAATGATTTATCTCGTATCCATTGCGTAGTATATGTGTAGAGTATGTTATGTACTCCACTCTAAACATATAATATTTATTACTCGTCTTGTAGAACGAACTCTCCATATCATTTCGTCATTCTACATTCTATTTTAATTACTCTTGCGTTTCGCAATAATTTTGTCTCATAGTTGACTCGCCATATCGATGCCATTGATACGTCTATTAGGAAGACCGTTATGCAATTTCAATTCCGTCTCGGCTAACAATAAGCCTTCAAAGCGTCTGCATCGCTGGAGTGACATCAAAGTGACTTACGCAACGAATGATTCGTAATATTATCGCCACCGTTAGAAACTAGGAACTGAGTAAATTACGTAAGAGATGTACTGACCCGTTCTGAGGTCTTACGCTTTCGATTTCCAGTCTGTATCCGGTTGCCGTGCAGGAAATGAAATTGAACGCAAAAATCGGGGAGAAGAATTTCCGGGAGCTGTCGGAAAATTCATAGACCATTTCTTGTAGATGTCAGTGCCTACAATTTTCGTATAAAACACTTTTCCCTAGCATCAATAATTAATTAATAAAATTGTTTATTGCAAAAACTTTTTTTTTATACAAGCGAAAAAGGTTTCAGACAAAAGTTGTAGCTCCAGTCGCCAAATACAAGAAAGGTTCTATGCAACTTCCTTTTAACTTCACTCGTTAGGAGTTTATTATAAATTAAGGAATAAATTATAAAAAAGGAATTAATTATAAATATTTTACAGTCAATTATTAGTACACTTTTTGACAGAACGAATCTATTATTCTTTTTTAAATATAGAGTCACAGATATTCAATTAAGTCGCTATGTTGTTGGTTGTGCGATTTTGTCATGCGCAAGAGTCAATTATTAGTACACTTTTTGACAGAGCGAACCTATTATTCTTTTTTATACTGTGGTGCCGATGGGAGGACGCGCACCTCCCCCAAGATTCGATGGTCGAAAATCGGAACACAGAGTGGTAGCATAGTACCTCGTTAAAGTCTCCAGACGAGACTTATCCGTATCCGTGCCAAAGATCGCCGCAACGCTCGGTGATCGATACTTGGAAACTGCTTGTTCAGTGCAAAGTTCCGTTTCAAACCTGTTTCGACGTGACTCCATCGCCCTGGACCTGATCAATTCTCAGTTTATTCGATACGTCGAAATTCGATACGATTCTCATTTTATTCAGTTGGGTCCTCGTTAGAGAAACGTCTCGTGTAGGAAACATTATTGAACGCAAGAAAGCATATAATTGTGATCTGATAATAAATCATTTGCTTAGAATATATTCCTACAATGTCTCATTCAGCAATGTGAAGAATTTTAACGGAGACATACTTTCTATACAGGATCGCATTTCAAATAGAAAATAGTAACGCGCGACATGATTACTTTGTTCGTACGTCACGGTCTGACCATACACGGTTTGTTCTACTGGCTGAGATAACTAGTAGAATAAAAGCGCGTCTGGTAGGATGTTACACACGGTTATTTGTACTCCCCGTTGATAAGCCGAGCTTGAAAGCGCAATAAAGCGTTCCGCGAACGTGGTATCTTAAGTTTCGCGAGCAAGAGAAAAAAATTTCGTTCAAGATTTATGAAACGTCGTCGCAGCGTGTATTGACTCCCGGTATCGGAGACTTCTTTATGAGAGGTACTAGGTTTGTCGGTGAGATTTTCGAAACGCCAGGCGAGCCAGCGAAAGCTGACAGATCTCTTTATTGTCTACCGACAGGAAATTCTGTTTGCCGTTCGACAACAGTATGTTCCGGCAAATATTCTATGGAGTTTCCACGCGCCGCACGTTTCCGTTCCGGCTGGCGTATCTTCCTGGCAGATAAACAGATACCGAAGTTCGATAGTCAATGTTTTCAGCTGTCCTTGGCTTCCTTTTATCACTACTTCCTCTTTCTTTCTTTCTTTTTTTTATGGCAAGTATTGTAAGGAAAGTGATGGGAAATTCGATAATCGAAACAGCGTAGCTTACATTAATTACAAATAAGTACTCGCGCCTCTGAATGCGTTTGTTGGTTTTATACTTCGATCAGATTCCACATAATCGATTAAACAATTGATAACCAATAATACCATTCTGTATTTGTATTAATCTTTTCAGTGATGAAGTTGATTTTGGCTCTGATTGACATACATAAACTGCGATTTTGATTAATTTCGTTATCAAATTTCCAACTGTAATTCAAAGTTTACTGATAACAAACGGTGTTTCTATCTACAATTCGGCGGCTCTTATTTACATAATGATATTTCAATTATTTTATTTAAATAAAAAATTCTATATGATTTTATCTGAAAAGCTTTTGAAACGTGATGCTGTTTGAGAAGTGAGTGTAATATCACTTTATTTAAAATCTGCATTCAGTATAATTCTATCACGGGAACAATACGATTCTAATTTAGATTCGATCTCCATGTTAAATTGGAATTGAATTGAAGTTTTGTTGTAATAAAATTATAGTAACTTCTAATTTTAAATCAAACAATTACAGACAATATCCTATTAGTGTCATTGCAGAAGAGTTCAGAAGTTGGATCACTTAGAATTACTTTTAAATTCCATTAGCCGTGGAGTTATTTGTAACGCCGGATTAAATTCTAATATAGAAATTGTATTCGAACTCACCTATCACCGTTAAATTGACTTTGGAGTTTCGTGTCTGGCCGATCTGGAAATCGACACGACACCTGTAAATGCCGGCGTCCTCCTCCCTTATGTGGTCCACGCCGAGTTCGGCCGGTTTTTTGTCCGGCATGAAATAAGCTCGATTCGAAAATACCGTGTCGTCCGACCATCGTTCTGCGATACCGAAATCTCGATCTCTCACATCGACGCTGGAACGAAGAAGGCATAATTTCTTTTAAATAAATAACCTCGTATTTATCCAGGCTGTGTCGGGGGATGAATTTCCAAGAGGCCAGAACGTATTTTTGAAAACCTGCGGGGACGAGGCTGGCAAACTGCGCCGAAGGTTTAATCATAATTATTTTAATTAACGCCACGCGCAGACGACGTACGTACGTATTTCTCGAGTACCGCGATGAATAAATTAAAATCCCGGGGCCCGAGCGAATGAATGGGACGGGTTTTAAATGCAAACGTCGGGCTAGAGCTCGCCGCTTTTAAGATCTCTCCCCAGTTTTGACGTCGGGACTTCTTCGGGCAAAGAGTCGTCGAGCCGTTGGTTTGAAAAACCAGCGTCAAGGGTATGTCCGTTATAAAAACGAATTTATGAATATTGCAAACATTCCCGTGTTGAATAATAGATCGTATTAGACAAAAAAGCTGCGTTCAATTACAGCTTGAGAGAAAAAAAATAGAGTTAATAATAAGAAAGTACCTCTGGAGATCTTATATCCGAAGTTATTCAAAGAGAACTCCGTTTCTCATTATCGGTCCGACTCGCAATAAATTTAGCAATCGCGTGCTGCAGCCCCGGTTCAATAATATCGGTCACACTAATCTCGGCATGTCTCGCTTGCCAATCTGTCCCGTCGTAGGTTCCCGTAGGATAGAGAACAGGTTGATGCGACGGCTGTTTGTTCGTCGAGCCTCTCTGTGTGCCGGATCGATTTGCACCTTACCTGTAAACCGATGTACCGAGGTCCTCGCGGTACCAGAGCACGAGGTGAACCGAATCACCCTCGTGGGTGGTTGATATGTCGCAGGGAAGGTACGTGGGATCCCCGACTAACGCCACGATGTGCGAAATCGGTACTGTAACAGAGAAGTACACGCGAAATCATTGGACAGTCGGCACGAGAGTCATCGCGTATCACGTTCCAATCCGACTGATTGCCGATTAATGTTTCACGTCCGACAGCCGAGTAATATCGGTTTGATCGATTGACGATTGATTGATACTAAGAGTTTTCGGAACTTCTGTTTTTATTAGTTCTTGAGAGGGTGGTTTTCTGATTAATGGTAGTTTTATTAGGACGGTTTCCCTTTCTTAATGATGACAGTTGAGAAGATCGTATCGCTAGAATTGGAAACTTGCGTGTCATCGAATGTACATAGATTATACCCTCTGTCGTTTTCTTTGTATTCGTAAGCTCCTATAGAAAATAATCAATACCTTCTACGCACGTTTATAACAGTTCAGCCACAAATTCCTTTGGTTAAGTTTTTCGACGTGCCAGGAAAAATGCGCGTTTCTCGAACTGGGTAAGGTAATACCGTTCGGCGACGGTTCTACGGAAGCTCGTTTCTCGCGAAATCCGTTCGCCCTGTGTTCCGTGGTTCGCATAGAAACGGCTCCTATTTAACTAGTCGCTTCGAAACAAGAAAACAAAAGAGGAAGAAAAAAAAAAGAAAGAAAAATGAGCAGAACACAGAAGGGGAAAAACACGAAATAAAACGAAACGAAGACGCCAGTTTCCTCTCGTCGTTGTCGTCTTGGAGTAAAACGAGCCTCGAGTCCTCCAGTGACCCAGATCGCGGGCCGCGGCTGTTTTCCACGGTTTTAAAGACGAGCGTACCAGAACTGACGGGAATCGTGTACGCATCGACAACGAGAACGTCGTTCGACGCGTTATTTTCGAGATGAATGGATATTGTAACGTCGAAACACGACCGAAAACAAAACCGCAGCTTGTGTCCGCCGTTATTTATCGCGTGGACGTGCCAGCCCAGCTCGCAGTCAATTTTGCTGATTAACTGGGACGCACCTGTTAAGAACCAATGAGCTCAGAGTTCTCTCAATCGACACGAGTGATATTGAAACGTATTAAGAGTAAATTAGTTATCCAAAAAATAAGTATGATATACTACATCATCCTTTGGTTACGTTATGGAATTATACTTGAACTGGAGACACTGAAGAAGTCTCAGGCGTCGCATTTACAGTTAGATGTATTATGTTACCAGAGAATGTTCCACCTCTGTGAAAGGAAATATCGTGTCGCGTCGTCGTGACAAACCCGGACAGAGGAATTCATACTCGTTGTCTGAGATCCTTTTTTCCCTGTGGCCGGCTCTTCTTCGAGCTTTTACGCCTGTTTTTTGTGACCGGTAAGCCAGAAGGGTAGAATACGGTTTCCTATAAAACGACAGCCGCGGAAAAACGCGTTATACCTTTAAAGCAGTGCCCGCTACAGTCTATACGTCTATCACAAGCGACGTTTCTATTCTGTGATCTAAAAATTCTATTTTTTAAGTTTGTATATTTCGTGTAATGAAATGATGAATGAGCGTCGACCAATTCGTCCATAGGCGCGAGGAATTAACGTGCACGGAAACTTTTTCCAAGTGAACAAACGTGAGAAGAACATATTGCACAGTTATATAAACCAGCGTAAGATAGGAGAATTAAGTAGTATAGGTCGGCGTATAGTCGACCGATTCGTATCAACACGGCGAGACTAGGTAATTAACTCACGAGGCGATGTCTTAATGCGTATAATATTGAGAATTAAGCTTAGCGCCTAGCGTATAATTAACAGAGTGCGGCGGCATGGTTCATGGTGTAGATTAAGCAGTACATGTCAATAATTAGCGACACGATAACCGCGCACCTCGCTGAACAGATTAAGTAGTGTAGATTCGTATCCGTAAGCGTGCAGAGAACCACGAGCGTGGATTATACTTGTACACCGCAGTTAAACGCTGGTTAGGCGTGATTTGCGACACGGTGCATTACGATTTTTGCATCGACGAGTTCCGCGTGTATATTTTCTCTAACGATTTGCATGTACGTTACGCTCCGATGGAACGAGATATTATAATGTTTTTATCAGAGACGTGATAAAATTGAAATATTCATAATGTGACGTCGGTATGATTTCCTATAAGATATGAAACGAAGTCGAGCGGATGTATCGGGTTCGATGTTACACAAGAAACCTTTTCACAAGCCGGTACCGCCATTTTGCGTTCTTATTCTTCGGCCCGCGACGAAGGAAATTCGAAACATTCGCCGCGGAAATTGACGCCGGCTTCGCTCCGAACGCTTTCCACCGTCGAATTTCAGGGAACTCGCGCCGGTGAACGAGTCGCGTTTAGAATATCGGGAACGCGGCGCGGTGCGGCGCGGCGGCATTATCGAGCCGACGTCTATCACACGCGCGATTTTTCCCGGATTTCGACGCGGTAAAATGAATAGGAATGTACCGGTGCTAGAGCGTAGGTTGGTCGAGCACACACGGCCGCCCCCAGATTCTCGATATTCCGAATACGTTCTTTCCTGTCATTCGGTTGAAATATGATCCGCGGTCCGCGACGTTGCTTTTATTGATATTCGACCGTGTTCCGCGTAACGTTCGACAAGGAACCACCTTTGGCCAGTACCTGGACCGAAGAGTTTTTTGCCTCGCGCGGATCGATGTAAACGTCCTTTTTGCTCGGCTGTCCACCGGAGACGCGAGCCAAATGTACTTGCGAATATAACGTACGCGTAATCCGATAGGGACATTTGTCACGGCCAGAGATATTCGATTTAATGGTTCGTCGTCTCCGCCGCCGGCGAATCTTATCTTCGCAATACAGTTTTTGACATGATTAACGTTCATAAACGAGACCGAGAATAGTATAAGTTTATTGGTTGATATAAAATTTATAATAACTAACAATAGTACTATATATACTGATACTATATATACTGATACTATATATATATAAACTTATAATATAAAACTTATAATACTGTCTATCATATGTTTTATAAACATTATTGAGTATAACTGATAATCAGTCGAACTAAATAATACAATAATTAAAGTGATCCTTACTCAACTATGTTAGAAGAACTGAAATTTTTACTGCAAGTTTAGATACGATGTATAACGATAAAATTTAAAACTTACTTTCATATCATAAAAAATTTATGCATACACGTAGATTCGTGTCACATTTTAAAAAATTGGGCCACTCCTATATACATTCTGAAAGTTTCAAGAAGTTCCTAATTTTTAAAATATTTTTATGAACCATTAAGCGTACACGTTGTGACATATAGCAGTCTGTTTAGTTAGTATTATTAGCAGCTCGGAATAAAAAAGTAGATGAAAATAAAGCAAATGACAGTTTCGATGAAATAAGTCACACAATAATTGCAGGCGTAGCTTGAGAAAGAGCAGCGCAGTTACGAAATTACGTGCTTCAATTAATTTTAACTATACCCTCGCTAAACGCTCGTTCACGCGCTGTGTTTTATCAACACCGTTTCCTCGTTCCTTTCTTTTCCTTTTAATCAACGCCGACGACGTGTTTAATTTGTTTCCGACGGATGTTCGTTGCCATTTTAATGAATTATAATTAACGGGCCAGGCGAGATTTAATCGAGCGGCAATCGCTTCGATTTCTCGTTTAAATCAACTCCGAGTTTATCGAATCCATTCGCATGAACTTGGAGAAACACTTTACAGCTTTTATTCAAATGTATAATTACAGTTCTTGTTAAAGTAGTTCTCAGAATTTATAATTTCCAATCAGGTATTTCTCATGTAACAATTAAGAAATTGTACGCACAGTATTAAAACTAGAATGCCCAAGGAAGTAATTTTGACTGCTTTTG